GTAGTAGTAGTAGTAGTAGTAGTAGTAGTAGTAGTAGTAGTAGTAGTAGTAGTAGTAGTAGTAATAATAGAAGAGGTAGATTGGTATTGATATTGGTAGGAGTTAAAAGTAAATAGTAACAGTTATACTTGTAGTAAAGGCTCTAATAACAGTATGAGCACCACTATTATTATTATTATGGTTAGTAGTAGTATTATTATTAGTAGTAGTAATAGTATTTATGATTGTATTTTTTACTCCTACTATTAATAGTATTAGTATGAGTAGTGTATGTGTTGTGGATATTTGTAGTGGTATTAGTAATAGGATGATATAGTTGCCGAGGCAATAGATTCTTACATGCTGCCCAAAATATCTTGTATCCGATTGGCATAGCGACACGGACAATCTGGTTGCCAGCCAGACGAAGAGCCAGATGAGCAGCTTGTTGACGGCGCAATGAGCCACCCCTTCCATTGCATTCATTGTTGGGGCACTGAAAGAGGCTTTCTGCTGAACACGGCGTCAAGTGAACACCTTGTTTGGTACTGGTCAGCTGACATGGCAGCATTTCAAGCGCCCGATCCAGCGCACGGCCAGCCGGAGAATAGGGAGATGAAGCTGGCCGGCCCAATCGGTCCAATCAGAAGAGATCACTTCGATTAATTGCCAGTTGCTATGGCAACGCTAGGAATGGGTTAAGCGAATGACTAATGAAAATAGGCTTGTTCTGTGGACCGAGAGCCGTCTGAGGAAATGTAGGCATCTTGTTGCGCCATTTTCGACATGAAACAGTGAAGGTAAACATTGACAACCGCATCACACAATCGATTGACGTGTAGATCGACTTGAAATCACACAAATGTCTCCATTCGTTGTGACTAGCGCACAAAAACCTGTCGGCTGCACACTCGCCAAACTAACAAGTTGCCGGTAGTACCGATTGATGGCGCTCTCTAGGCCCGTCTCCACACAGTTTATTCGGTACCCACTTGTCACTTGTCGGCTAATCACTTTGGCGGATGTTGTCAAGTGGAGCAGAGGTTGTCGTGACAACTGACCTGTTGGACGCGAGTGGACTTGGCCGGCGATGCCGAGGCCTACCTCAGCCGCTCCCAATCAGGGACTCGGTGGTTCGGATTGACCTGACGATGACGATTGTGATGACGATGAGGATACATGAAATGTGCTCATCACATTTCGTTTGAGCTGACGCGGGACGGGTGGTTGCATTTTCCAACAACCAATTTCGCAAAGCTTCGCCTCCCAAAACAAATTCACATTCGCCAAAGACGGCATTTTCGAACTCGCCTAGACCTTAGCAACAGGCGCAGCGGGGCTCGAACCATGATAGAAGAGAATAGCTTTGGGGAGGCAACGCGATATGAAATTCAATGGGACTATAAGGTCTAATCATATGATTGTGGGAAAATCTATCTACCAGTCGTCCATCACACATCCGATATCTCAGTGACTGATAGTACCGAAATCCTAGTAACAAACGAAAGACAATGAGGATGAAGACGATGATGGTGATGATGATGGTGATGATGATGGCGATGATGATAA